GAGAGAGAGAGAGAGAGAGAGAGAGAGAGAGAGAGAGAGATTTGTAAAAATCTTTTTTGCATTCCTAAAATTATGGTAAATCCCACGTGTTTGTTTTATACAAATCCAATACATATTCACATTAAATATTTAACTGGTCACAAATTAATAATCAACATTATTCAACATACTTCAATGGTAGACCAAAATTTTGTAGAGATATCAATTTTACATGCCATCGACCAACGTGTTCTTCATAGACAAAATAACTAATTAATGCGGGAGAAAGTATATTGATATATCCACCGATTCGTCTGCTAAAATTTTCTTTATAATTATAATGTAACCGAATTCTTGCAATTTTGCAAAAAACTATAGTTATTTCTCAAAACGGAACTATAATCTTAGGAAGTTATCAAATTATAATTTTAATAAATAAGTTGTTTTCTTTTATTATAAAAAACATGCTCTTGTAATAAATCCTTTCCTGCAGGCTCAACTAATTTGAAAAAAATGCTCACAAATTAGGGGAGTTAAATGAATCGAGCCAAGCTACTTGACTTGTTCACCTTCGAGCTCGACTCGGACCAATATGCAAGCTAGCTCGCACTTGCATATGAAGACAACCAGAGCGCAAGATGGCTCATTTTCAAATATCTCGACTGTTAGTGGGGGCTTGTCAAGCTGGTTTGCAAGCTACTCACAACTCGCTATTTATTTATTTTTGTTAAAAATTAAAACTGATATATGCATCCTTTGAAATATCATGAAGACGTTTATTTGCAAGAAAAAATATATTTTGTGAAAAGAATTATAAGTGTAAAAACTATCTTCCTTTATTGGGACTCGGAACTGATTATATGATATGTAGGAGGAATTTAAATTGTACACGAGTTAATATTTTATATACAACGAATAAATAAATGAAATATACTTATAATATTATATTAGTAGTGATAAGTGCGTTTTCCAACACTTATTTTGCCACATAAGATGAACTATTGTTGACAAAAATTGCTTGAATATGGCTTAATTCTGTTTAAATTCGTGTTGTAGCACTATGTTGATGGACATGGCAGAATACAAGAGAAAGGATATGAAAAAATGACCAAAACGGAAGTAAACAAAAGTTCAAGGACCAAAGTGCAAACAGGCCGAAAGATGATCCGAAGCACCACTCGAGAATAAAGATGACCTAAGTCCAAATTTGATGAAGACAATGGATGTTGGAAGAATGAAAAAAAAAACAAAAAAGATAATAAAATGACAGCAACTAAAGTTGAAGACTAAAAATACACATCTCTAAAGATGTCTATCATGAGGCGGCATGGTAGAAATATCCATGCGGTCGCATATGACCTAACAGGGACTCAAGTGAGTCCA